ACGGGGAGAGTGGGGAGCTCTTGGGGGAGGAAAGGAATCCCATGGACCCTGTCTTAGAGACTAGTGGGCTCTGTAGAAGACATTCATCTGGATCAGGCAGTTCCCAGTATATAAAGATCTTCAGGAGGTGGGGAGGGAAGAACCCCCACTATCTGTGGCAGGGAAGGGAAGATTCCGTGCCCCTTCCTCAGGAGGCAGCAAAGCCAGCTGCATGGGGGAGAACCTACCAAGCTTTTGCTACCTCTTCCCCCCAACCCACCCTCCACCCCACCCCACCCTCCACCCCACCCGGCTCCCCAAATCAGGGTCCCACCCTCGGTTTGCATGGGACATCTCCCCGCTTCTCTCAGGGCCCTTGTCCCTTCATCTGAGGCTGTCCCTAAGGCTTGGTCCCTCCTTCCTGCTCCCGTCTCCCCTCCCCTTCTTGCACTGCACAGCCTACCCGGTTTCTATGGAAACAAGCTGGGAAGGCTCTGCCAGGAGGCCAAGGCCACTACTGCTCTTGGGGGGAGGGGAAGATAGAAATGGAAAGAGAGACGCAGGAGGTGAGTTCTGGCAGTTCACAGAAGGTGGAGATCTGTTGAGAGAGACTTCACTGCCAGAGGGGTGGGGCAGAAGGAGAGGTGTAACTGAGTGATGTGACCGAGACAGAGTCAAGGGGTGCCTCTTCATTCCCCCAGTTCCCAGTGCTTCCGACATCTAGACAGGGCAAAGTGGTGGATGAAGAAGGAAAAACTAAGAGCTCTGCCCATTCCTACCTTATGTGAGGCTCTATCCTTTTACCCCTCCTGGGGACATGCCCACTTGACAGGAGGTCTCCAGGGAACTAGAAGGTTCCCAAGAAATGGGAGGGAAAATCGGAGTGCAGTGTGAGTGGTCAGGGATGTTCAGGAAGCTCCCTTAGGAAGGTGAGATAGAGGTGGGCAGAGGTCTTGGAATGTCAGCTACTTTTATGGTACCCCTCTCCAGCACCTCCACTGAGGAGTTGGTGGAGGGCTGAAGACTGTCAGCTTCCTCCCCTCTGTCCATCCCATCAGGATGTTGGGCTATGAAAAAAGAAAAGTGGCCTAGTAGGGGTTGGGTGCAGAGAAGGGGAAATAAGCCTAAGGCAGGAAGGGCCAGAAAACAGGCGGGTGAGTGAGTGAGTGCAGATGTTTGTGGCTAGGGAAGGGAGGGAGCATCTTAGAAGCTTCAACTGTCAGCTCCTGGGAAGTGAGCCCCAGCCCTCACCCTCTCCTGATGCTCCCACCTTAGGCAAAACTGCTCCTTGGACAGGGACTATTGGAAATCTCAAGAGTCCTGGGAGATTGCTGTGGGGGGGGTTCCTTGAAAAGGGGCCATCCAGGTTACCAGAAGGTTCAGCAAAGTTTCCCTGGGGAGAGGGAGCGTGAAACAGGTACCCTGTAGCCTAGGGTTTCCTGGATCTGAGCCATCGGCTCTCCTTCAACCATAGTCTCCAGCACAGTCGTCTTGTGTTTGCTTATTTTGGTTATTTTTTGATCAGATATTTTGGCACTGAGCACACTGCCTCCTGTTGCCATGGCAGCCGTGACAGGGGCTGAGGCACCGTGAGAAAAATACCAAAATTAATGAGTGAGTGAAAGTGCAGCCGAGAGAAAAACAAGGTTAAAAAAAGAGTTAAAACAGTAATGAAAACAGGCTTCCCAGATCCACAGCAGAGCAGCTGCTGAGGCCTCCCCAGAGCAGCAGCCCCCCTCCCAGCCTAGGGCTCCTGGCATCTCCCAGACCTCAAGGCAGGACTTACTTGGCTCTCCCCACCCAGCTAGTCACTGACCCAGCAACAGCCACTTGGGGACTACGATAGGCACAACCGCAGATCAGCTCTAACAGTACATCAGCTTCCATTTCAGGTAGTATCCTGCCTCCCAGAACAGCTTCTCATCTCCTAGACAATAGAGTCTCAGCCACAGCCCCCACACAACAATGGTGGAGCAAAATTACCAGGAAATGGCCTCCTAGCTATACCCAAGCTAAGAGTTATAGCTGGAGGCATCCCAGCTAGAGTCCTGCACACAGTAACAGCCCAGCCACAGTCCTGGGCAACAGCATCTTAGCTATAGCCAATCCCCAGTATGCTGTCATCACAGCTACAGCTCCAGGACCAATAGCAGTTCAGCTACAGTCCTATACACAACAGTAGCTCTGCTCCTATCCAGATAACAGCCTGTCTCCCAGGTACAGGCTCCTAGCAACAGCCTCTCATCTCCTAGGACCTAGGCAATGGATTCAGCTACAGTCCCATGTACATCATATTAACAGGGAACAGCTTCTCGGCTATAGCCAGTCTCAGGCATGCCAGCCTCACATCTATAGCTTCAGGTCCAACAGCATATCAGTTACAGTCCTCCTTCAACATGCACACACATGCCCATATACACACAGCTTGGCAATAGCTTCTCAGGTAATCTTATGGGCACACCAGCGTTCGAGCATTTCAACAGGTGTCCCAACTACAATCAGAGGCAGCAGCCTTGGTGTTACAGTTCCAGGCCGTACAACATCCTAGTTCACTTAGCCACACCCCATCCCAGGTACACCGATATCACAGCAAGCACTCCAACCATTCCCATAGCCGGCATTACCCTAGTTCCAATCCCTGGCCACAGTCTCAGCTGGAACTCAGGCACCACCAGTTTCAGAAGACTCCCTCAATCCTTCACTTGCCAAGCAGGTCCTCCTCCCAGTTTGGTACAGGGCCAAAAGTCCGACTTTTCTCCTATTCAAATGCCACCTCCCTTGCAGTCCTTCCCCCAGTCCCTGCTCTCTCACCTGCCCTCTTTCCAGGGGAAAAAAGCCCCGATTCTCATATCTACATTACCCCTGCCTCAGGTCCCCACAGAGCCCAGCCTGGCAGCTGGAGTAGGAGGGGCTGGGGAGCAGGGAGAAGGGTAGGCACACCCTGGTGCTGCTGCTCTGGCCCAGTTCTGCTCCTACCACTTGGTGCAGAATTTGAGTTTGATGGTGGTGGAGCAGGGAGGATGGAGGAGAACATCTGGGAGATTAGCATTTCCTGCCCAGCTCTGCTGGCTGCTGATCCTGCTCAGCCCTGAGCAAGAGAGGAGAACAGAGAAGCCTTTGAATGGCTCCCAGCAAGCAGACTGGGGAGGGTTTGCTGCATTGGGTGGCGGGCACACGCTGGGGGCAGGGAGACTGGGGCAGCTCCTCTGTGGAAGATTTCTTCTCTCTGGGCCACTGATTCCCTCCTCAGAGCTGTGCTCAATGATGTGGAGAGTATGAGCTTTCAGGAGACAGAAAGAAGCTACTTACAGGACAGATCCACCCCCCCTTTCACTAGATTACCCCATCTCTCATTTAGAGTCTGTCTGTTCCCTCCCACCCCCCGGGCTTCTGGGGATGAGAGATAGAGCAGGACCCAGGCCAGAAAAGGAGTCCAATTAAGGGGGACAGCTCTGGGAGAGATCTTGGGCAGACTTTGCTTGCCCCCTTAGCTAGATTCAGAGCCAGAGATTCCACTCTTACACTGAAAAGCATCCCACAGAGAGCGGCCAGAGCTGAGAAGAGGAGGAGGTAGAAGACAGAGGAAAGGCACAGAAGAGTAATAGGAACAGGGAAATGGGGAAAGACAGAGATGGGGATTCGGAGGCTATGGACAAAAAGAGGCCCAGCGACTGGTCCTCCCATAACAAGGGCCTTTCCTCACCCAACACAAGGCTTGGCTAAGGATAGCATTTCTCATTCTTTTAACCTAGAACACTCTGCCTGGGCCTGCAGTCGAAGAAGGCAGGAGGTCCTGTTGAAGTGGGGCACTTGGTACCCTGGGTTACCAAACCACGAGCGCAGGAGAGGGAGTTCCCAAGCTGCTCAGAGACCTCTAGATGGCGCCAGAGAGCCAGAGCTGAATGGGAAAAACCGAATATTGGAGTGAGACACTGCGTGTGACACCGTGTGTGATTTGGTGAGTGTGAGTGTGATAGGGACAGTGTGGCACTGCGAGGGCGTGTGACACAGGCCGTGACACTGTGCGGCCTCGCGGGGCAGGGACCCGGTGACTGTATAATGTGAGTCACTGGCAAATGCGTGTGGCCGCAGCACTACGCCTCCCAGAGGACAGGTGATCAGGGGACCCTCGAATAGCCTGAGCTCAGGCTTATCACTTCGTCTTCAGGCTTGTGTATCTTCTCCATCCTCACTCTAGAACCCCCGTGTCCCTTAGCCTCCTCCTCCCACGGTCCCCTCCGTAGCCCCACCCCCACGGCTTGCTGCGGCCACCGAGGCTGACCGCTCTGCGTCTTCGGCCGGAGGGGGAGGGGTGGACTTTCCCCGAGCGCAGCGGGAAGGGGAGGGCCACACAGGGTGATCGGGGGTCTGGGCGGGAAGAGGGTGGATATGGAGGAGCAGGTGCCCAGGGAAGAAGGCTCTGTGGGAGACACTTTCCCTGCTTCGACTTTCCAGGGGGCAGAGCCGGGGACAGGTGTTTGAGTAGGGTAAGGAGGGGAATCCAGGAGCGGTCCTAGATGGAGGCTTGGGTGGGATAAGCGTAAGGTGAAGCTCAGACGAGGGGACAGCCTGTGTGCCGGGCCTTGGGCAGTGAGGAGATGGCAAAGGGAGGGGTCCAGCTTTGGGGAGCGGTGCTAGGGGTCCCCTCCCAGCCGGACCGAAGCGGTCCCGAGCTCCACCTCCCGGCTGGAGGGGGGGCGGGGAGGCGGGCGGGTCGGGAGGGAGGGGGGGAGGGAGGGGGCGGGCCGGGCTGTGCGCTCCGCTCTCTGCTGGCTCCGCCGCCGCCGCCGCCGCCGCCGCCGCCACCGCCTCACACACTCGGGGAGCGGGAGCGCGGCGCGGACGCAAAGCCGCGGGGCTGCTGCGCCCAGAGCCAGCCGGAGCCGGAGCCCGAACCGCAGCGCCAGCCCCAGCCGTGCGGATCGGCAGCCCCGGCCGGGGCCGGCGGCGGCTCATGGACAGCGGGGCGGGCGGCCGGCGCTGCCCAGAGGCGGGTAAGGATCGGGCGGCATAGGAGGCTGCAGCGGCTTGGGGCCCGAAGCGGCCATGGCCGGCGGGAGCTGAGGGAGGGGCGCTCCGCGGAGCGAGGCCGCGGGGGCCCAGCTGGTGCTCGGAGCGTGGGGGTTGAGGTGGGGGCGGCCGGGAGCCCGGAGTGGGGGCTGCGGCCGAGGCATTCCGGCCTCCCAGGTCCACGGCGAGAAGCCGAGGGAGGGGAGGGGGTGCTAAGCAAGACCCTAGTCCCCGCGTCCCGAACCTGGGCACGCTCGGAGAGACGGGGATAAGGAGATGCCAGGAGCGTGCGGCGTGGAGGATGGGTTTGGGGAAGCGCGCGGCCCCCAGTTTGGTGGGGGGGCTCCCGGAGGACGGAGCAAGCTCCCGGACCCTTGTCCACAACACAGACATACACACTTGTTGGGCTACTAGCTCGGCTCACTCAGGCGCTTCCAGCTTCCCGCAGGCACCCAGAGGGCCAGATCATGGACATACATACACACATACATATATCCGTACATATGTGCACACAGACATACCTCCCGCACACCAGCGCCCACTGGGGCACCGTCACCAGCTCGAAATCCGCTTCTGTGTCTGCACGATCAGCAGCACGGACACACAACCCGTGGCTTTACAGAGCAACAACACAACCGAGTGTGACACCCCGCGACGTGGACACACAAACACAATCTCATGCCCTTATGTATGAGTGTCACAGCCACGGTTCGCTACATGAACCCTCAAAACCTAGCCATCCCTTACATTTCTTTAAGGAACACACCCTACCATATATTGTCTTACCCACTTCTTGGCCAGAACATATGTACACAGCACAGGTCTCCTTGCACCCCTCGACTGCACCCACACAAACACACAACCCAGTATCTCAGCACACGCTTGACGGCACACACCCTAACACAGTCAGTGGCACCTACAGCAGCGCCTCACCGTCACAAACACAGAACCCACTGTTTCACCCATCTTAACACTGGGTGTCACACACACCTTAAACCAACAGTGTCACATTACACCCTGCAGCGCACACACACAAACACACACACTCCGTTCCTCTCCCTCGGAGTCCTGATTCAGGCTAGAGAAGCCGCCGGGATCCCTCAGCTAGCCCCCAGCGCCCCGTCACCTTAATCACGACATTGTTATTGTAAATACCGGCACAGCGGGAACCCTGGACCGGCCTGCCGACTTCCCAGCCGGCGCCTCCCCAGCCCCCACTCCCGGGCCCAACTGGCCGCTGTTCCGGGAACTAGTTGGACCTGGCTGGCCAAGCCATCACGCCTCCCCGGGGCTCCGGGGTCCCAGGTTCCTTTGCAGAGGGTGCGAGGCGGGGACTGTGATTGCCACCCTCTTCCGGCCATTTAGCTGAGTTTTCGGAGCCACCTGGGTCCCCAGCACACCTGGGTCCCGCACACCTTCGTGGATCCCGCACGCCTCGGCCCGTTTCACACCTAAGCGCCCCCTCCGCCTGGTCCCAGCTGTAGGCCAGTGTGTGCGCGGGCAGGCCCTGGAGCCAGAATGGAGATCGCAGCAGCCACAGGAGCAGAATTTGGAGGCGACATGGTCTCGCACCCCTTCCCCTCCTCCCAGCTACCCTCCGTAAGTCAGACTTCTGGCCTCAGTTTCCCCAACAGTGGTCGGTTACTATTTCTTCTGCCAGGAAAGACTGGGGGTGGCACTGAGGCCTTGGAGGATTGAGCGTAGGGCAAAACTCCCCTCTGCCGGCTACGAGAGGGTCGGTTTTATGAGAATGTCTCCGCCTAGCCGGGTTCGCGGCTTTGTGATTCCGGCGCCAGCTCCCTCCCCGCCCCCTCGCGGCGCCCGCTGCGCTGCTCGCGCCGGCGCCGGTTTGCTGGGGACCCTAGGCTGAGGTCGGAGACGCCGGAGAGGAGGGATTCCCCGCGGCGGCCTGGGTGCCGGGGGCGCAAGCAGCCCGCTAGCCGAGGCGCGTTCTCACCACGCCTCGCCCTCGCTTTGCCTTGGGCTCTTGGAGGCCGGGCGCTGCCGGGGTGGGGGTGGGGCAACCAGAGTCCAAGCAAGAAACTACCGCCACCCCCAACCCCCGCAACACACGCACGCACGCACACACACACACACACACACACACTCTCTCTCTCTCTCTCTCTCTCTCTCTCACTCTCGGCGTCCTCTGGGAGGAGTCGCTCCGCGCGCTGGGTGTGTGCTGGGAGCGCCTGCTGATCAAGGCGGTGCGTACTGGGGCAGCTCGGACCGGCAGAGTCCTGGACTTCGTGCCGGAAGACGCCGCGAGCCTTCTAGCACCTGCTCTGGGTTAACCCTTGGGAGCCGCCAGGAAAGGGGCCTCCCAGAAAGTTTTTATGACAACCCGTAGGGCTAGCTGTGTTGTGGGGTGAGGAAGTAGGTGGGTGTTACTTTATTGACGTGAGGGTCTGGTGGTGGTGGTGGTGGGATTGAAACCTGTAATTACAGCTAAACTAGGGTATAGGGTGGAATGGAGGGAAGAGGAAGACTGGCCCCAGAGGTGGCTAGAGGCAGTGTGGTAGGGAAGCAAGTCTGGATTCAGTTCTGGCCGCATTTAGTTTTTCCCCTTCTCCGACCCACCTCCAATTCCCAATTCCAAAAGAGACTTCAGCAGGAAGGGGTTGTCTTGCTGGTCTGGCATCTTCCTAGCAGAGGGCCTACTGCTGTGGCTGCTTCTGCAGGGGAGCTGTGCTAGCGATAGTAAGCTAACTGCTGGGAAGAATGGGCTTGAAGGGCCAGGAGGGGGCCTGCGAAGGTAGGGGAGGAGCTAAGTGGGAGTCAAGGTTGGGGGAGGGGCAATGGGGAAGGAGGAGGTCCTTCTGATAGTGGGTGAGGGCTGCCCCTGCCGCGAGCAAGGATAGTTGGTGCAGAAATTCTGTTCAACAATGTATTGAGTACCTTTTATCTGCCAGGGCTCATGGTGGGTGCTGAGGATGCAGTAGTAAGATACATATCATCATTGCCTTCATCAGACTTGCCAACCAGCAAAGCTTGTTTATTCATTGAACCAAGGGGCACCTACTGTGTGCCTGATGCTGGAAATAAAATGGTCTATTCAGCAATTGGAAGACTTAAAAAAAAAAAAAATGATTTGTCCTTTACATATAATGTAAAGAGACCTTAATGTAATAGACCTTATAGGCATGGGATCTCATTTAATTCTCCCAAATAATTTCAAGAGGCAGGATTCATTATTTCTATTTCGCAGTATGGAAAACAGGTTCAGAAAAGTAAATTCACTTGGTTAATGTCACACAGCTATGGAGCGAGGGTTCTAACCCCAACAATCTGACTCAAGCATGCCAGGTGCCTGGAATCCCTGCAGAGGCTAATAGAGGGTTGTGGGAGACAGGGGAGACGAGCTGAGGTCTGCACACTTGCTTCTCTGTGGGAGGCTTCTGTTCAGCTCCACCCAAGGCAACCGCACTTGCTTCCCCTCTCCTCCCAGACAGTCCCTTTGTCCCTTGGTGTTTTGTGCCCTCGGCAGTGACCATTGTGTTAACAGTGCTGGGGTGGGGGTCGGGGGGAGAGTCAGAGCTGACCTGGCTACTAAGACAGTGGTGGCTGCCTCTGTTTTTTCTCTGGCCACAGCACTCAGCAAAATGGACCTTAGTCCCCGGGGTGGGCTGGAAATGAAGTTTCCGGGTGAACCCTCACCTCTGTTCTCATCCCTTCCCAGATGTTGACACAGATATTTCCCTTAGCTTTTCTGGGATTCCATCCCCTCCTTATCCCTTCCTCCTACACTCCTGATGGCTCTTCTGCTCCTCTATCTGAGGCACATGGGTTCCTGTGCCTGTTCCCCTTGAGGCTCTGGCTTCTCAGGGTCCTGAGTGCCCATGTCACTGGCGGGAGGTGGGGCACTGTTCCCCAGGAAGGCAGCCAGTGCCTGGGGAAGGGCAGATAAGGCGCTGAGTGTTTCAAAGGCTGCCATGTGGGACTAATGACTCCCAGTGCCCAATTACTGAGGACAAAGTTCAGAGATGGTGGGGGCAGGAGTGAGGAAAGGCCTTGTTATTGCTGCTCCTGCCCTTCCAGGTTCTCTCCCTGTATCCCTATGGGCCCCTGGGTGAAGAGCAGCAGCCTAGGAAGCCTGGGCTCATTCATCTTTGACCCTTAAGCCCACTCTTATTCCCTCCTTACTGGGCAGGGTTGGCAGTCCAGGAATGGTGGGGAGGCCAGTGTGACATAAGAAGTATCAGATTCTAGCCTCAGATATTTTTGTTCCTTTCCCCCAGATGCTGGTATGTGAAGAGGCATTCTTCTCAAGTCCTGACTCTTCCATATACTGCTTCTGTGACTTAAGACAGTTTATTCTTTCTCAGCCCCCATTTGATCATATGTACTATGGGAAGGAGTGTGATAATAAATAGCACCCATTTCAGAGGGTTGGGAGGAAAGAGATCGTGTGTATAAAATGCTTAGTACTGCCGGGCGCGGTGGCTCAAGCCTGTAATCCCAGCACTTTGGGAGGCTGAGGCTGGTGGATCACGAGGTCAAGAGATCGAGACCATCCTGGTCAACATGGTGAAACCCCGTCTCTACTAAAAATACAAAATATTAGCTGGGCATGGTGGCGCATGCCTGGAATCCCAGCTACTCAGGAGGCTGAGGCAGGAGAATTGCCTGAACCCAGGAGGTGGAGATTGCGGTGAGCCGAGATCGTGCCATTGCACTCCAGCCTGGGTAACAAGAGTGAAACTCCATCTCAAAAAAAAAAAAAAATGCTTAGTACTGAGTAAAATCTTAGTGAGTGTTTGCGGAGATGATAATGATAATGATGAGTGATGATGGCAGAGGTGATGGTAAGAGTTTGCAGGACCTCAGGCTCTTTCTTAACTCCCGAATTATCTCAAAGTTGTACCCAGAGGGTCTGACCATTGCATCACAATTGCTTGAGGGTTTCTCTAGGTCCCACATCCTGAATAAAGATTCCTAAGGGTGGGGCCAGATAATCCTCATTTTGTAGGAACTCTCCAAATGCTTGAAGGGCCTAAACCCTCTTCACCTCCTTTCCCCACTCGGAGCAGCTCCCTCTAACCCTGTTTTCCCCACTTACCTCCTACTTTCTGGGACCTTTCTCTGCCCCACCATCCCATAACTTTCTTGAGTTGGACATTATTCTGTGGTTTTCCTTCTCTTTCCAATTCAGAGTTAGATACCACAGTCCTTAACTGGTTGTTTTGCTGGCTGAAGGTAAGGCATCGCCTAAGGATGAGAGAGAAAGTGTGTGTGGAGGGAGGGAGTAGTCTCACCAGCTTGTGTGCCTATTCTGCCTATGAGGTTTGAAAGGTTATAGGGCCTCAGGTTGTGACTCTGAGATGGAGGAAGCCGGAGGTAGGGGCTTAATTCGTAGCTCTTGGAGTGGCCACACATCATTTCGCCCTGACTGCCAGATCATGGCTCCCTGAATTTGCAGCTAAAATTTGTGAACAGTCATTTTTCCTAGAAGAATCTGCACCATGGTTTTATAAAATTCCTAAAGGAAGATGTGACCACAAAGATTAAATATCTTAAATATCCTTGATCTGGAGAGAGCAGAGGCAAACAGTGACTTCCTTATTTCTCCTCTTGGGCAGGTTTAGGGTAATTCCCATGGGCTTCCCCCATAACGCCTGGCCTGCCAAGACTTAGGCAGAGATTTGGGGTGCACAGTGATACCACCTTGTGTATGCAGAGGAGGGTGGCAGCAAGATACAGTGCCCTTAAGAGAATGAGGTTCTCTAGAGATGGTCCTTTGGGGATGTGTTTGGGTTGGGGTCAAAGTGGTCAAATGAGCCTTATGCCAGGTCCACGCAGGTGGAAGGGAGGTGGCTGGAGGGTGGGTGGACCCAAATGGAGTATCAGATAAATTCCTGCTTCCTTTAAATAGATTAAAATTACAGCTGGCAGCTGGGGGACGGTAGCTCACGTCTGTAATCCCAGCACTTTGGGAGGCTGAAGCAGGCAGATCACAAGGTCAGGAGTTGAAGACCAGCCTGGCCAACATAGTGAACCCCTACTAAAAATACAAAAAAATTAGCCAGATGTGGTGGCAGGTGCCTGTAATCCTAGCCACTTGGGAGGCTGAGGCAGGAGAATTGCTTGAACCTGGGAGGTGGAGGTTGCAGTGAGACCTCGACATTGCATTTCAGGCGGGGCAACAGTGCGAGACTGCATCATCTCAAAAAAAAGAGATTGCAGCTGGAAACAGACATATACACTAATCTGATAAAGGCAGCACAGACTCTAGGGAGGGGCCTGTGCTTGGAAGGTCACACAGAGGAAGGGAAGTGTTTGACTTATCTAAGGACTCTGTGCATTCAGTGAACATTTGCTGAGAGTCTACCATGTGCCCTAAACACAAGAGACTTAAATTTTACTCCAGGAAGTTCTTAGTGGAGTAGGGGAATAGGGTAAGTGAGAAAGTAAAAGAACAATGGTCACACAGCAAGTATCAGGAAAGGCTAAGCCCAGAAAGCCAAAATAACAGTCATTCAAGAGCTGCTGAGTGCCCACTGTGTGTCAGGTCCAGGGCTAAGCTCTGAGGAGGTAGGAATAACCAAAGTAGAAACTGTCGTGCTCTCTGCTCGCCATCTTGTAGCAAAGACAACTAACACATTTTCCAAACAGGTACATAACTAGAATGGTGCTAAATGCTTTGAAGGAGTCCTTCGTTGAATACTCAACATTTAACCCACAGTATCTCAAACACCCTAGGAAATCAGAGTACTAGCCCCATATTACAGATTAGGAAACTGCTGCACTAATCCTTTGCTTCAGGTCATGAAGCCAGGAAGTGAGGCGATGGGTTTGCTTCAGACTGCTGAGGCCATAGCCCTCGATCTTCTCCACCCTCCTGCCTTACATTTGCCAAATCGTATACAGAAGCAACCAAACAAAATGAACAAATAGTCACTGAGTTAGAAACATTGTCACGGCAGATTGGGCCAGTCTTTTCTACTTCTGCATCCCAGTGCCCAGGACAGAGCCTGGCACATTGTAAATGCCCAGTAAACATTTGTTAAATGCATGAGTGAGTCCCTACAGTGTACCCAGATGTGCAAAGGTGCATTGCTGGGGACAGAGGATGAGTGAATATACGGAGTACTGTCCCTTCCTTCAGGGTGCTTGGCGTCTACCTGGAGAGACAGAGAACTCAGGAACAGGTGTACAATACTGAAGCCGAACAACAACACAGGCGGGCGGTGTCCCAGTCAGCCCAGTGATTCATTACCTTGGGATCGGAGCAGACAATAAGCAGCTGTGAGTTGGAGGAAGGAGAGGTCACCGTGGGCAGGAGAGGGCTGTGGTTTCCTGGAGGGCTAGAGCCTGCCTTCAGTGGGATTGATGTGGGGTGGGTGTTCCAGGTAAAAGTGGGGAAGTGGGGAAAGGAGACTGAACCAGAAGCCTCTAAAGAAACTGCTGATCCAAAGATTTTGGATTTGAATAGAGGAGAGGGTGGCCATGATTTTGCTGGAGAGGAGGGGACATTCAAGACAGACAGTAGCTGAGTCTGGCTAGGATCCGCCAATGCATGACCTCAAAGAGAGAGGAGATGGGCAAAAGAAGGGGGTTATTGTGGTGGTTGGGGTGCAGCTTAGGGGTGGGCAGGGAGAGGTAGGTGTGAAGTGGGGGCTGGATATACAAGGACAGAGGTCAAATAGGAGCCAGATGTTCATCCAGAGACCAGAGGGTGTGGGGTGGGGGAGTGGTCAGGGAAAGGCTGGTGGTGTCATCAGCAGCAGCAGCTCTGTCCCAGTTAGACCTGCTGGGCTCCCGGTTGCTAAGGACAGGCCAGGGCAGCTCCCAATGACAATTCCAGGGCTAGTCAGCCCTGACCACAGTTCTGACCCCAATCTTGATCTGTGTTCCCTTGTACACACCTGCCCGTGGCAGCAGGAGGGAGAGGAGAGGAGCCCTAGCAACTGTTCATGTGCCTGTGTGCGTGCCCTGTGGCCTGTGTGCGTGCCCTGCGGCCTGTGCGCGTGCCCTGAGGCCTGTGTGTGTGCTCTTTGGCCTGTGTGCTTGCCCTGAGGCCTGTGCGCCTGCCTTGCGGCCTGTGCGTGTGCCCTGCGGCGTGTGCATGTGCGTGCTCTGTGGCCTGTGCGCGTGCTCTGCAGCCTATGCGTGTGTTCTGTGGCCTGTGTGCGTGCTCTGCGGCATGTGTGCGTGCTCTGCAGCCTGTGCGTGTGCTCTGCGGCCTATGCGTGTGCCCTGCAGCATGTGTGTGTGCCTTGCGGCCTGTGCACATGCTCTGTGGCCTGTGTGTGTGCCCTATAGCCTGTGTGCGTGCTCTGCAGCATGTGTGTGTGCTCTGCAGCCTGTGCGTGTGCTCTGAGGCCTGTGTGTGTGCTCTGCAGCATGTGTGCGTGCCCTGTGGCCTGTGTGCATGCTCTGCGGCCTGTGTGTGTGCTCTGCGGCCTGTGTGTGTGCTCTGTGGCCTGTGTGTGTACTCTGTGGCCTGTGTGTGTACTCTGCAGCATGTGTACGTGCTCTGCGGCCTATGTGTGTGCTCTGTGGCCTGTGTGTGTGCTCTGCAGCATGTGTGTGTGCCCTGTGGCCTGTGTGTGTACTCTGCAGCATGTGTACGTGCTCTGTGGCCTGTGCGTGTGCTCTGAGGCCTGTGTGTGTGCTCTGCGGCCTGTGTGTGTGCTCTGCGGCCTGTGTGTGTGCTCTGTGGCCTGTGTGTGTACTCTGCAGCATGTGTACGTGCTCTGTGGCCTGTGCGTGTGCTCTGAGGCCTGTGTGTGTGCTCTGCAGCATGTGTGTGTGCCCTGTGGCCTGTGTGCGTTCTCTGTGGCCTGTGTGTGTGCTCTGTGGCCTGTGAGCATGTGCTCTGAGGCCTGTGTGCGTGCTCTGCAGCATGTGTGTTGGGGGAAAGTCAGGGAGCTAACACCTACTTCTCAACCCTAACCATTTTCACAAGCCTTGCCCAACTCAAGCTGGCCTTTTATGGGGGTGGAGAACACTGGGCACCGTGGGTAATTGTCAGAAAAAGAGAATTTGAGTTGTCGTACCTCATGCATATGCACTGGCTTGGCATCTCAGAATAAAGAGAAATGAGACATCACCCCCTCTCCCTCCAGTCAATCTTAATGGGGCCCAGTGTGAGAAGTCATGGTCCCAGGATGTGGGGTGTATAAAAAGGTACTTGTGTCTCTTTCCTACCATGTGGGAAGGGGTGCTCAAATTGGGGGTACTCGAGGCCTCACCCTTCCACTGGCTCTCTCTCCCTATCTCAGTATCAGAGTAATTACCATGGGTGACTAAGGCAGGATGCTGGTGAGAAGGAGGTATTGGGTGAAGCAGAGAGCAGGGAGGGAGAGAAGGAAGGAGGGCGGGTGGCCGGGCTTGGGCCTCGGGAGCGTCAGGTGGGTGAGGGCGTTCCATGGGCGGGAGCTGCTCTAGACCTGCCAGGCCTCTTACTGGCTCCTCCAGCTGGGGCAGACACGGCTGCTACACCCAGCTGTGGATGAGATTCAGGGATTTGAGTCTCTGGAGTTGGGGCTCTGTGCTGGGACTGACTGCCCTTGTGGAGAATCGTGTGTCAGTGGGAGAGGGTGAGTATGGGGCCAGCTCTGGGCAGCTCCCGGCCAGCCTCCTCTTCCCAGCTCATGGTCTCTGTTTTGCCTTTTCCCCTTGCAGCCCTCCTGATTCTGGCGCCTGCCAGGATGGGGCCCCTGAGGCGCAGCCCGGGCCCTGGGGGGCAACGGCTACTGCTGTCTTCCATGCTTCTAGCAGTGCTGCTCCTGCTGGCTCCATCCCCAGGCCACGCCACTCGGGTAGTATACAAGGTGCTGGAGGAACAGCCGCCCAACACCCTCATCGGGAGCCTCGCAGCCGACTATGGTTTTCCAGATGTGGGGCACCTGTACAAGCTAGAGGTGGGTGCCCCATACCTTCGCGTGGATGGCAAGACAGGTGACATTTTCACCACTGAGACCTCCATCGACCGTGAGGGGCTCCGTGAATGCCAGAACCAGCTCCCTGGTGAGCCCTGCATCCTGGAGTTTGAGGTGTCTATCACAGACCTTGTGCAGAACGGCAGCCCCCGGTTGCTAGAGGGCCAGATAGAAGTACAAGACATCAACGACAACACACCTAACTTTGCCTCACCAGTCATCACTCTGGCCATCCCCGAGAACACCAATATCGGCTCACTCTTCCCCATCCCGCTGGCTTCAGATCGTGATGCTGGTCCCAACGGCGTGGCATCCTATGAGCTGCAGGCCGGGCCTGAAGCCCAGGAGCTATTTGGGCTGCAGGTAGCAGAGGACCAGGAGGAGAAGCAACCACAGCTCATTGTGATGGGCAACCTGGACCGTGAGCGCTGGGACTCCTACGACCTCACCATCAAGGTGCAGGATGGCGGCAGCCCCCCACGTGCCAGCAGTGCCCTGCTGCGTGTCACCGTGCTCGACACCAATGACAACGCCCCCAAATTTGAGCGGCCCTCCTATGAGGCCGAACTATCTGAGAATAGCCCCATAGGCCACTCGGTCATCCAGGTGAGAGGCCCCCTCCATATAACTGTCAGGGTGACCCACCATTAGAAATGGGAGCCCACCCAACCAGATGAGAGTTTCCTTCACTTAGGGGGAAAACTGCCAGGATACTGTAGTGAGACCCCTTCTCCCTAGCCTCAGCCAGGGGAGTCCTTCCCACCCCACTCCAGCATGGTGGTATTACTTTCCTCTATCAGGCTACCTAGGTGACAGTGACATAGCATATGAACAGTAAGCCTCCCACCCCTAAGCCAGACTCAAGCTGAGGAAACCTCTGAGAAGTGAAACTCCCTCCCTAGTCAAGTAGATCCTTCTCTGCCAGCCAGGTGAGCCGAGTTGGAGCAAAGGAATCACCTTTTATCCAGGTAGAATCTCTCCTGAGATGAGAGCATCTTCCCAACCAGGGACAGTTTCCCTTTAGCCAAATGAGGTTTCCTGAAGCTGGAGGATATAGCCTCACTTTGCGTCTTCCTGACAAAGTCAAACGAGATCATTTTAGCCAGGTGGGTCCCTCAGAGTCCTGAAAAGACATAACGAGGTGTCTGTATACCTGTCTCCTCTCCTAGGCATGGGGTGCCCATAGGTGTAGGGTGCTTGGCACAGTGGGTTCAGTGGGGGGTCAGTTTCCTCTGTTGAAGTTCTCAGCACCCCTCTCCATGGGAACTGCCCCAGGCGCTGGGCAGCTTGGTGGGGCTGGGGCCTGGGAGGGAGCAAAGACCGCGTCCCTGCAGACAGGTGGGTGTATCTGCCGCTGCCATCTCAGTTCTGGCCACCTGCCAGCCCAGCTCCTTTCTCCTTCCCCATGGGCTGAAGATGCCTCTCTCTTTGATGTGAGGGAGCTAAGGAGGCTCGGCCTGCCCTGGACGCCGTTACCCATCCTGGAAAATCCTTAGTCCTGGGTCCTCAAGCTGAAGCGGGAGATGGGTGGGAGTTGCAGCCTTTTTTTTAGAGTCCGGTGGACTGAGACTTGGAAAAGAGACCGAGAAAGAAAAGGGAGACAGACAGTCGGGGATGGCAAATAATAATAGCCTAGGTGCCAGGCACTGTTCTAAACATATGATATGTATTATAGCATTTAATCCTTATAGGGCAAGGTAAGCATTATCCCCATTTTGCAGATGGGAAATGGAGCCCATAGAAATTAGCAAACTTGCCTGATATCCTACAGCTGTTGAGTTCAGAGTCCACCTTTGCCACATCCAAGAGTCTGACTTCAGAGCTTAGGTGTGTAACAGCTTTACCACCTTCCAGTGAGGTGAAGCAGGAGAGTACAGCAGAGAGTAAGCTGAGAGGTCAGCTGGGCTGAAAAGAGAGGCTGAAAGAAAACAGGCCATGGGAAAGGAGCAGAAGCAGAACTGAGCAAGGATGGGAAGGAGACGGAAGCCAAGAATCATAGAGACAAAGGGAGGTAAGACAAGAGGCAGTTAAGAAGCTGGATGACCAATTTAGAGGCAAGGGAGACAGTGGGGATCCTCATGATAAAGTTTGTGACAGGTAGACTGGGGTGAGGGGACAAGAAACTGTTAGGGTCTGGCACTCAGAGATGTGAGCAGAGACCACGGTAGCTGGGGAACCGTGGCATCCTATGAGCTGCAGGCTGGGCCTGAGGCCCAAGGGCTATTTGGACTGCAGGTCTGGAGTGGTAGAAAAAGCCCAAGCAGGGATAACTAGAGTTCCCATTGCCAAGGAGGAGAGGACTGGCAGTGGCTTGAGGGCTCATTAGGTGCATTGCGCAGCACTGCGTTAGCACTGATTTTTCAGAGACAGGCGGGTAGGAGGGTAGACAGTTGGACAGACAAAAAGAGAAATAAATGCTATTTAGGGAACACTTCCCCTGTTTCAGGCAGTATCAGTCATTTTTGCCTGTGTTATCCCATCTGATCCTCACCACGATTCTGTGAAATAGGTGACATTATTATCCCCATTTCACATATTCGTAGACTGAGGCTTAGGGAGGTTAAATAATTGGCCCAAGGTCACATAGTTACTTGGGAAGTGGTGTAACTGAGATTTGAACCCAGGACGCTTCTGTTTTGTTATCCCAGAGACTCTGCCAAGTTATGGTTTTTCTCCCCTCACTCCCCAGAGCTGTCACATTCTGTCTGGCTGTGACCTAACTCCAGCCCTCATGTTTCTCCCTGTCCAGTGGTACCCCGTGGCCATTCCCACCTGGGTCCTGTTGCCCCATTACCAACCATATTTGTATAGAGTTGGGCCGAGTGCGCGTCAGAGTTGGTGTGGGAGGGCGTGCCCGCTGACTGCAAAGGGACAGACAGTTCATTGTTTGATGCTGGGAGCCCAGCCTACTGCCAGCAGGCTCTGTGGCCTGCATCAACCCCTCCCTCCTGGCTGCAGGCTCAGGCCGGATTCCTCGCACTGGTGCCTCGCCAGCCAGTGCCAGCCGGGAGGAGAAGGAGCTGCTGAAACAGGTTTCCCCGGTTTGACAGAGCGGTGGCTGGGGCCCGGCCTGGAGGGCTTCTCTGACCCACAACCCTACCTGACTTCTTTCAAAAGAAATCCCGCTCCCCCCGCACACCTGGAGCCTTCAGGTGGGCATGTGAGTCTTTACTCCTGTGTGCAAGCACACACATACACAAACACATATACCTTCTCACACAAAAAACCCACATAATCATGCATTCTGACACAATCGTACACATAACGTATGTACACGCGTGCATATTGTGCACATTCATACGGGCATGTACACCATCTCTACTACCCACACCTCTCCGTCTCTGCAGGAGGGCTCAGGCAAGGTTCGTTGGTGAAACGGCTTCCCTAGTTCTACTGGATCCTCATCCTCTCCTGGTATTTTCGTGGGCCCATACAGCAATGACAAGTGAAGTTTAATTCTGCCCTGTCCCATCTCCAGTAGTTGCCGATACCACTGTTTAGGATTTGCAGGCTGCATCTGAGCTTTTCAGGAAAATAGGTCAGTAATGCCTGCCAGAGTGTCCAAATTGGGAAAAGGCAGTACACACATGGCTTCTGGAAAGGGAGCGATGTTGGATTGGCTGGGTCTGCCATGCTTGTTGGAAAGGACATTGGCAGCACACATGCCCCTTTATTTGCTATCCCTGATCTAAACCATCTCTGTTCTCCTTGTTTTTCCCTCCTGCCCCATAGGTGAAGGCCAATGACTCAGACCAAGGTGCCAATGCAGAGATTGAATACACGTTCCACCAGGCGCCCGAAGTTGTGAGGCGTCTTCTTCGACTGGACAGAAACACTGGACTTATCACTGTTCAGGGCCCCGTGGACCGTGAGGACTTAAGCACCCTGCGCTTCTCAGTGCTTGCTAAGGACCGAGGCACCAACCCCAAGAGTGCCCGTGCCCAGGTGGTTGTGACCGTGAAGGACATGAATGACAATGCCCCCACCATTGAGATCCGGGGCATAGGACTGGTGACCCATCAAGATGGGATGGCTAACATCTCAGAAGATGTGGCAGAGCAGACAGCTGTGGCCCTGGTGCAGGTATCTGACCGAGATGAGGGAGAGAATGCAGCTGTCACCTGTGTGGTAGCAGGTGATGTGCCCTTCCAGCTGCGCCAGGCCAGTGAGACAGGCAGTGACAGCAAGAAGAAGTATTTCCTGCAGACCACCACCCCACTGGACTACGAGAAGGCCAAAGACTACACCATTGAGATTGTGGCTGTGGACTCTGGCAACCCCCCACTCTCCAGCACCAATTCCCTCAAGGTGCAGGTGGTGGATGTCAATGACAATGCACCTGTCTTCACTCAGAGTGTCACTGAGGTCGCCTTCCCAGAAAACAACAAGCCTGGTGAAGTGATCGCTGAGGTCACTGCCAGTGATGCTGACTCTGGCTCTAATGCTGAGCTGGTTTATTCTCTGGAGCCTGAGCCGGCTGCTAAGGGCCTCTTTACCATTTCACCTGAGACTGGAGAGATCCAGGTGAAGACATCTCTGGATCGGGAACAGCGGGACAGCTATGAGTTGAAGGTGGTGGCAGCTGACCGGGGCAGCCCTAGCCTCCAGGGCACAGCCACTGTCCTTGTCAATGTGCTGGACTGCAATGACAATGACCCCAAATTTATGCTGAGTGGCTACAACTTCTCAGTGATGGAGAACATGCCAGCGCTGAGTCCAGTGGGCATGGTGACTGTCATTGATGGAGACAAGGGGGAGAATGCCCGGGTGCAGCTCTCAGTGGAGCAGGACAATGGTGACTTTGTTATCCAGAATGGCACAGGCACCATCCTCTCCAGCCTGAGCTTCGATCGAGAGCAACAAAGCACCTACACCTTCCAGCTGAAGGCGGTGGATGGTGGCGTCCCACCTCGCTCAGCGTATGTTGGTGTCACCATCAATGTGCTAGACGAGAATGACAACGCACCCTATATCACTGCTCCTTCTAACGCCTCTCACCGGCTGCTGACCCCCCAGACACGTCTTGGTGAGACGGTCAGCCAAGTGGCAGCCGAGGACTTTGACTCTGGTGTCAATGCTGAGCTGATCTACAGTATCGCAGGTGGCAACCCTTACGGACTCTTCCAGATTGGATCACATTCAGGTGCCATCACCCTGGAGAAGGAGATTGAGCGGCGCCACCATGGGCTACACCGCCTGGTGGTTAAGGTCAGTGACCGTGGCAAGCCCCCACGCTATGGCACAGCCTTGGTCCACCTTTATGTCAATGAGACTCTGGCCAACCGCACGCTGCTGGACACCCTCCTGGGCCACAGCTTGGACACGCCACTGGATATTGACATCGCTGGAGATCCAGAATACGAGCGCTCCAAGCAGCGTGGCAACATTCTCTTTGGTGTGGTGGCCGGTGTGGTGGCCGTGGCCTTGCTCATCGCCCTGGCGGTTCTTGTGCGCTACTGCCGGCAGCGGGAGGCCAAGAGTGGTTACCAGGCTGGTAAAAAGGAGACCAAGGACCTGTACGCCCCCAAGCCCAGTGGCAAGGCCTCCAAGGGAAACAAAAGCAAGGGCAAGAAGAGCAAGTCCCCGAAGCCTGTGAAGCCAGTGGAGGATGAGGATGAGGCCGGGCTGCAGAAGTCCCTCAAGTTCAACCTGATGAGCGATGCCCCTGGGGACAGTCCCCGAATCCACCTGCCCCTCAACTACCCACCGGGCAGCCCTGACCTGGGTCGCCACTACCGCTCTAACTCCCCACTGCCTTCCATCCAGCTGCAGCCCCAGTCACCCTCGGCCTCCAAGAAGCACCAGGTGGTACAGGACCTGCCACCTGCAAACACATTCGTGGGCACCGGGGACACCACGTCCACGGGCTCTGAGCAGTACTCCGACTACAGCTACCGAACCAACCCCCCCAAATACCCCAGCAAGCAGGTAGGCCAGCCCTTTCGGCTCAGCACACCCCGGCCCCCACCCCACCCCTACCACGGAGCCATCTGGACCGAGGTGTGGGAGTGATGGAGCAGGTGTACTGTGCCTGCCTGTGTGGGGGCCGACCTGAGCCAGCAGTGGGAGGTGGGGCCTTGGTGAGAACACTGCTGCCTCACCCAGGCACAGGGATTAGGCTGAGTGAAGATGAAGGGAAGGTGGGCTCTATGGTCTCCTCTCTGCCCGCTCCCAACTGGGAAGTGACTTGCCAAGTCCCCAGACCCTGGACCAGCTGCTGGGCCTTGTGGGTGGGGACTGGTGGGCAAGTGAGCAGAAGTGGGTAGGGGGGAAATGGGGAAGAAGTCTACACCAAACCTAGGTCTCTATCTGAGACCAGCCCTAGGTGCTTCTCTAGGAGGGAACAGGGAGACCTCTGGTCCCGTAGATAACTGAGTGGGGAGTGTGCCCGGGAGGGGGAGTTTCCCACTGTGCCTTCTGTGTCCTGTGCATCAACCTCTTCCTCACCACTAGGCTCCTGGGGTGGGGTTCCACATGCCCTTGGCCCTGATAATAAAGTTCTCTATTTTTGGAGTTTTGGTTTCTTATTTTCTGGAACTGAGAGAAGAAGCGAGAGAGACTGGAAGCAGCCCTTTGTCCTCAGTCCTACTTCAGTTTCCCCTTCCCTTCTCTTTGCCCCTTGCCACTTCCTAGACCTGCCCACTGCACCCCACACTATCCTACTTTGTCATCTTGCCATCCACCCCTATGTCCCTATCCACGTCTGGAAAAGTGCCCTTCCAACCAGCCTTCAAATGGAGGTGTCTGGCAACGTGTCCCCTTGCCCCATGTCTGTACGGTTTTCTTCCTAAGAATGTTCCAGAAAGGGGAGGTGGAGCTGTACACAAGTCCTGCCCCACCTGAGGCTGGATTTTTCTAATTTGCTCAAACCGAGTTGCCTCTGACAGACCTCAGACTGGAGCACCTGGTAGGGGGTGGCATTCAGCCTTCCTGCCTTGGGTAAAGGCAGAGAACCTCTCAGTTAACGCCAGCCATCTTCCCCCAGGGCACCCTTCCCTTAAGTCCCTTCCCCAGCCTCTTCATCACAACAGCACTCAACACCCAGCAGTTAGCTGGCCCTGCCCTGTGTCTCCCTACCATGATCACCAGCCCAAGCTAAAGGGAGGGGGCCGAGGGGGAGAAGAGGGAATTCCGAAGTTCTCTGCATTTACCTGCCCTGCACCCCCATTCTTAGGGGGTCCCCTGCTCATGAGCAGAGGCTTCCTAGTTCTGCCTGTGATGCTACCACCCTCCCCTCTTTCCGTTCCTTGCTCTGGCCACTCTGGGTTGCTGGCTCTCACTCTCTCTCTCTCCGTCTCTCACTTCTTGCTCTCCTGGGTCTACCCTGTCTCTGGTTGTGCCTGAGTGGGAGGAAGGCTAAAGCGTGGCTGAGGGGCCTCAGGTCCTGCGGGAGTCTCTGAGGCCAGAGGCAACCTATCTCCATGGTGACTAAAGAGGCTTGAGACACTCCCAGGAGGAACAAGGCGCCAGCTCTCTCCTCTGATTCCATCCACAAACTCCCGCAATGCCCTGGGTGTGGGGGAGAGGGCAAAGTAAGAACTCCTGGGGTCTTAGAGGAGTGGGGCCTGGGGAAGTGAGATCTAACCACAGCGTGACCTCCAGCAACTCCTGACCTCCCCATTCTTTCTCTTCCTTTTCTGTCCTTACTAGCACTGCTTCTATCTTTCTCCTATTCCTTTAGTGTCTTCATCTCTTTTTCTTTCCCAGGGTCTGAGGGATTGTCTTTTACTCAGCTCTAATCCATCCTAACCCATCCATCGAGCCACATTGAATGTCTTCTCTCAACATTCAGATACAACCAAATCACACCACCTGTTGTCATCATCAACACACACAGGCCAAGTTTCCACTGAGTGCTCAGCATGGTACTAGACCCTGATGAAAAAATGGCTATACTTGTACAAGACAGACAAGTGAATGATGAGGCAATTGAGAGTCTTAAGAGTTGAATGAGAAGTGCCCTACTAAAGCTTTTCCCAACGTACCCCATGAAACTACGTCTACTGCCACCACTCACTTCCATTTTTTGAGTCCTTACTAGGTGGGAGGTACCACACTAAGCACTTTGTGTGAATTAGTTCATTCAGTGCTCATAATTCTTCATGATATGGATCATTTTAATGTTCAGTTTGCAGAAGTGAAAACTAGATAGTGATGCAGCCAGATTCAAACACAGAGCAGGCAGTTCTCCTGTTAGCTATTCTGCTATAAAAAAGGGGTTCTGTGATGAAGTTAGTTTTGGTAGTAAGAGATTCATGCTTACATTCAACTATTAAAGGCTCTGTAGAGTCCTCCAAAAAAGGGGGAACCTGTTAGACATTGTTTTAATTTTAATTTTTTTGAGACAGGGTCTTGCTCTATCGCCTGGGCTGGAGTGCAGTGGCACAATCTTGGTTCACTGCAACTTCTGCCTCCTGGGCTCAAAGGATCCTCTGGTGTAGCTGGGACTACAGGCATGCACCACCACACCTGGATAATTTTTGTACTTTTGGTAGCGACAGGCTTTTTCCATGTTGCCCAGACTGGTCTCAACTCCTGAGCTCAAGCGATCTGCCCACCTCAGACTACCAAAGTGCTGGGATGACAGGTGTGAGCCACCATGCCCAGTCTCAATTTTGTTCACTTCTTGAGTTTTCTGAATTTATTTTACCATATTGCCCCTCTCTTCCTTTGACAAGCACAGTATGGGAAAACTACACAGGACATGGAAATGGACTTCTGGAAGGAGAAAGTGCAACTTGAGCCAACTTGTCAATGAGGAGCAGGATTAGGGCAGGAGGGTCCCCTGCCTCCTTGCAGGGTCACCGTGTGAGCAAACTCCTGCGGCAGGAGTGAACCAAGTTGGAGGTGGGGAAAGGGCAGAAAAAGTAATGTTCTGGCAAGAACGGAGGGCCTAAGAGAAAGCTGAAAGATGAGACTGGAAGAACTGCACGTTGTAGAGGACATAGGTGCCTAAAGTACTTCGGAAAGAAATAGTCCCTGAAAGCTCATGAGTGTTTTCGATGAACTGAGTTTTAGAAAGTTCGCTGGAATATATGGTGGGCTTAAAAGAGTATAGAGATGAAGGTACACGACTGAACCTCTAAGGTTTGGACTGATGGTGGCAATGGGGGTGATGGATGGATAAATTTGGCCAAGGTTAGGGAGAAAGAACCCACAGGATTCAAGGGATAATTGGATATCGGGTAGGGACGGGGAATGAGGGGAGAGCTACCAGGACTTCCAGGTAGACATCAGCCTTCTGAGTCTGAGTAATGGGATAGCAAAGAGATGATTGCCCATACAGGAGCTAAGTGAAGAAGAATTTTGTTTCAGACATGTCGAGTCTTAACGGCCAGTAGGCAGAGCCAGTTGGAAATAATCAGCAAGTGTCTAGAGCTTCAGGACTCAACAAGTTTGAGAGATTTTTAATCTGGGCTTATTTTACAATTTGATAGTCATAAAATTAGAGGAAACATTAAGTGTTGCGTATAACCCAACCCTCCATTTTACGGAAAAGAATTATGGGAAAAGAGACCAGGACTGAAGCCCTCAATTACCAGGTGCGGGTTCTGCAGGCGGTGGGACTGCTGGCCAGTATCTTGAAAGAAAACTGGAAAGAGAAGCACCAAAAACCATGCTGCCCCGTGCCTCCCAGACCCTGTGGGCCCCGTTCACCCCTATACCAGGTGGACAACACTGGTATAGGGGTGAACAGGTGGACTCCTTTGTAGCCTCCCAGACCCAAACGTCCATGTCAGTTTTGGAGACCTTATCAGTCATCACCCAGACCCTTCAGTGTTTTAGCTCCATACAAGGATCCCAAGAACGATCGCTTATTCCTGAAGATGAGGTGGGAACCATCTTTAGGAATGGGGATAGTGGGGAGGCAGTTCTGGACTACCTTTCCGGCAGCTCCAAAAATCCTGTCCTGATAGGCTCTCCCACCCTAGCCGCCTTGAATGGGGCTTTAGGAGGGTAAGTCTACAAAGCCAGGGCCACCTCCCCTGGCCATCTTCATAACCTCCTATCCAGAGTTACTGAGTAAGACAAAGCACTGCCAAAGTCTTGGAGGATTGGAAGGAGCTTGGAGACTCATCAGCAGGGCCCTGGGCTTGGCTGTTTTCACCCCTGGCCTCCAGGGGCCCTGGGTCTGCGCCCTCCACAACTCCTAATTTCTGGTTGGCAGGAGAATCTGTGGCAGTCCCAAGTGGGTATTTGGGTGGCTGGCTGGTTGTGCCAAGTGCCAAGTTGAGGTTGCCAGGTTCCAGGGCTGATCATTAACCTGTGGCAGGCCTACAGGGCTGCTGGCTGGGAGCAGCCTGTTACCCTTCCACTCCCCCGACCCCCAGTCCCCAGTCCCCAGTTCCCAGTCCAGGCCTCCAAGTCTGGCTCCTCATCTGGCCCCTCATCCCGGCAGCCCTCCCCGAAGCTCCTTTCTATTTCCTGGAAGGAGTCTCCCTTTGAGACCAGCTTTCCTAATCCCTAATGGGTGCCATGCCCTCCCTGCCATGTCCAGGCTCCTGGAAAGGCCCTGCCCTCTCCAGTGAATATTCTATTTCCTAATCAGGAAGACTGAGGCGTTTCCATTGTTCTGCTTGCCCCCTTCCCCCAGGTGCCCTGGTTTGTTATCAGGCTCCTCCGTCTGTTTTCCACTCCCAGATCTCTCTGGAGAGGAGTGAAGTGGGGATGGGGGGCTGAGTGGGAGAGGCCTCAGCTGGGAGTCCTGAGGCTGCTGCAACATCACAAACCAGGGATGAGGAACAGAGGATAAGAAAGGTTGGCCCCTCATTTGGAAGGAGACAGTGGCAAGAGCAGTGAGACAGGTGAGGAGCTGGAGTCTGGAGGGTGCTGTTTGGAAATGAGGGAACTGTTCTGGTGTTGGTGAGCTGTTTGGGAGTTAGGAATCTGCTGCTTTTAGGAAGCTATTCTAGAAATTGCAAGCTATGCTGGTGTTTCGAGGCTATGCTGGAATTAGGGAAGTAGGGTGGTATCATGCTACTCTGGTAATGGGCTCTACTCTGTATTACAGGCCATTTTGGGATTAAAGGGAGGCTGTGCCAATATTGGGAAGCTGGGTTAGAGCTAGAAGGGTTGTGCTGTAACAGGTGGTTGCACTGGATGAGGGTTATTGGGGTGGCACAGGGGCTGTAATAACACTGGGGCCTGCGCTGTATTGGGACTTCCACTATGTGGACTTGGCTGTACTGGAGCTGTCCTAGAACTCAGGAGCAGTCTTCTACTGAGGCCTGTGCTTTCGGGAGGAGTGTGCTGTGCTGGACCTGGGTCCCTTCTTAGTTGCTGTTGAGGCCTGGGGAGGGTGGTGCTTGGCTTGTACTAGGGCTTGGTATGGCGGTGGGCCCTGGGCAAGCTGGGTGGTCAGTAGTGACAATCTCTCTCCCTGCAGTTACCTCACCGCCGCGTCACCTTCTCAGCCACCAGCCAGGCCCAGGAGCTGCAGGACCCATCCCAGCACAGTTACTATGATAGTGGCCTGGAGGAGTCTGAGACACCATCCAGCAAGTCATCCTCGGGGCCTCGACTCGGTCCCCTGGCCCTGCCTGAGGATCACTATGAGCGCACCACCCCTGACGGCAGCATAGGAGAGATGGAGCACCCCGAGAATGGTGAGGCACAGCACCATGGTCGGGGCACCCCAGGAATAAGTGGAAGCCTGGGAATGGTGATGAGGCCTTAAACAAATCCTCTTCTTTTTCTTTTTTTGTTTGTTTTTTTTTTTTTTTTTGAGATGGAGTTTTGCTCTTGTTGCCCAGGCTGGAGTGCTGTGGCATGATCTTGGCTCACTACAACCTCTGCCTCCCAGGTTCAAGCGATTCTCCTGCCTCAGCCTCCCGAGTAGCTGGGATTACAGGCATGTACCACCATGCCCGGCTAATTTTGTATTTTAAGTAGAGACGGGGTTTCGCCATGTTGGACAGGCTGGTTTTGAACTCCTGACCTTAAGTGATCCACCCGCCTCGACCTCCCAAAGTGCTGGGATTACGGGCTTGAGCCACCGCGCCCTGCCGTATTGAGTTCTTATGTGTTCAGTCATCATCGCCACGCAGAGGGCTTTCAGGTATACACACATTTAATCCCCAGAACCACTCTGTGATCTGAGAGCTTTATGGCACCCACTTTACGACGGAGGAAACTGAGGCTTAGAGAGGCTAAGTCACTTGCCCAAAGTCATACATCTAGAAAGTGACAGACCCTGGGAGGGATTCAAACCCAGGTTTCTCTGACTCCAAAGTTATTGCATCCAGCCATGTTTACACTGCCACCTGGGAACAGGGACTTGAGCGTCGTTGGCCAGAAGGCTCACATAATGGTGAGGAAACCTTGAGGAGGTGGATGGTGGTCCTCTAATGGATGGGAGGGCCTTGAGAATAGAGTATGGGCCCTGGATGCTACAGGGGTCTCAGAGAACGCTGTGACCGTCCACTGGGGAGAGGAGTGGGAGAAGGTTTGGCACCTCTTTGAGGAAGAGAGGCAGGAGGTCTGGTGAGGAGAAAGACCTGACTGGGAGGGATTTTGAGGATGATGGCAAAAGGGAGGTGTGAGCTGGAGCAGAGATCAGCCTGGGAATGGATGCTGAGGTATGCTGTCAGAAAGTGTGTGTGCAGTGTGTGTGCTGTGCACATGCGTGTGCATGTGTGAAGGCGTCCATGGCAGCCTGTGGAGGAGAAGAGTGAACGAGCTAGCCCCTGAGATGGAAAGACTCTCTAACTTGGAGCTGTCTTCGGGTCTCACCCACTCCCTCAACTCAAAGCCTCCCCTCCCGACAAAAGATGGGAGGTTTCACTCCCCTGCCTCAGGCACAGGGCCCTTGTCTCACCTCCCAGGCACTAGGTCTCAGAGTGTCCTCCACCCCACCCCGCCCCTCCATATGTGATCTCATGCCCGTCTCGTCCTTTTTGTGCCCGCGCAGAGCCGGCTGGCCGGAGCAGGCCCTGAGGCAGAGTGCCAGGTATGTGGGAACTGCTCTGGGGTCTGGGGTCTGTGGGACTCTGCCCAGCACCCAGCCTCGCCCACCCAGTGCCCATGCTCTGCTCTGAGCCATGTTGGGTCCCCCAACTCTGCTCTGAGCTGTAGAGCCTTGGCACTTTGAGGGTTAACAACAGAGCTGTCCCCTCCTCACCTGGCACTGGCAGGAGGCCAAGCCAGGGTGGGTGGTGCCAGGGGAGCCCCTGTCCCAGGCAGTGTTGCTCAGCCATGTCCCTGGGGGGTGGGGGGTCACTGCCTGGTGCTGTCCCTGAGCAAGGGCAGGACAGGGACAGCTATCACAGGAAGTGCTCATGGCCCAGCCGTTCCCATGGAGACCCCTGCTGCCCAGCAACTACACCGGCTACTGCTGATGTCAGGCAGCCAACTCCTGTTCCCGTGGGTGTTCTGGGCAGGGCGCCGGGGCAAGGCCAGGGGTGGTGGATGGTTTAGGGGCCAGAGTGAGGTGGGGAGGGGCTGCATGAGTGTGCTTGTGGATGTGAGTGTGTGCTTCTATGTGAATACCCCACATAGAAGCTCTCCCTTCTCCCTGGCTTTAAAGCAAGGCCTTGCTGTGCTGGGGGAGGGTGGGGGTTCCAGGACCACTGGAAGCATGTGAGGCTTGAGGGGGTTCTGAAAGAAGCCATGTGCCCAATTTCATCTTACAATAGAGGTGCCCAGTGTAGTAGATTTGTGCATCCATGCCTATCTGTGTGTGTGTAAGAGAGGGAGGGAGAGAGAGAGATTGATTGTATCCTTCAAAGAGGATGGGGGTTTCCTCAACCCCACCTGAGGATAGATTTGGATGTTTAAGCCAGTCTGAAGACAGAAGAGGCAGTGTGTAGATAAGTGTGTGTTTGTGCACCTGAGGGCAAAATTGGTGGGTGTGTGAGAAAAGCACTGTAGGGTAGGTGAGGCTGGAAGGAATGTGTCTATTTAGGGTTCAGTGGCTCACACCTGTAATTCCAGCACTCTGGGAGGCTGAGGCAGGAGGATTGCCTGAGCTCAGGAGTTCAAGACCAGCTTGGGCAACATGGCTAAACCCCATCTCTACCAAAAAATACAAAAATTTAGCCAGGTGTAGTAGTGCATGCCTATAGCCCCAGCTGCTCAGGAGTCTGAGGTGGGAGGATCACCTGAGTCTGGGAAATTGAGGCTGCAGTGAGCCGAGATCATACCACTGCACTCCAGTCTGGGTGACAGGAGTGAGACACTGTCTTGAAAAAAAAGAAAAAAAAAAAAAGGATAATGCTGGGCCCAATGGCTCACACCTGTAATCCCAACATTTGGGAGGTTGAGGAGGGTGGATCACCTGAGGTCAGGAGTTCGAGACCAGCCTGGCCAACATGGTGAAACCTCATCTCTACTAAAAATCCAAAAAATAACCAGGCATGGTGGCGGGCACCTGTAATCCCAGCTACTCGGGAGGCTAAGGCAGGAGAATTGCTTGAACCGGGGAGGTAGAGGTTGCAGTGAGCTGAGATGGTGCCATTGCACTCCAACCTGGGTGACAAGAGCAACACTCCATCTCAAAAAGAAAGAAAAAGAAAGGATAGATTTTGTGTGTGTGTGTGTGTGTGTGTGTGTGTGTGTGTGTACAGTAGGTGGATCGTGGGAGTACATGTGTCTATTCGAGGGTGTGTATGCCCGTGAGTTCAGTGGTCAGGAAGGGGCGTGTACCCCTGTCATGAGGCAGACTTTAGCTGCCAGTGGGAGGCCATGACGCAAAGCTTTGCAGGCGCTGTATGTCTGATGACTGTCCTTCCCCGTTCGTTTCCTACAGACCTTCGCCCTTTGCCTGATGTCGCCATGACAGGCACATGTACCCGGGAGTGCAGCGAGTTTGGCCACTCTGACACATGCTGGATGCCTGGCCAGTCATCTCCCAGCCGCCGGACCAAGAGCAGCGCCCTCAAACTCTCCACCTTCGTGCCTTACCAGGACCGAGGAGGGCAGGAGCCTGCGGGCGCCGGCAGCCCCAGCCCCCCGGAAGACCGGAACACCAAAACGGCCCCCGTGCGCCTCCTGCCCTCCTACAGTGCCTTCTCCCACAGTAGCCATGATTCCTGCAAGGACTCGGCCACCTTGGAGGAAATCCCCCTGACCCAGACCTCGGACTTCCCACCCGCAGCCACACCGGCATCTGCCCAGACGGCCAAGCGCGAGATCTACCTGTGAGCCCCCTTCTGGCCGGCCGGTCCCCCTCCCCCAGCCGCCGGCCAGTTCCCAAATGGGCCCATTCCAGGGCCTCACTCTCGACCCCTTCAGCGTGGACTTCCTGGCCAGGGCCCCAAGTTGGGGGTAACACTGGCCTCATGACCACGCTGGCCCTTCTCCCATGCAGGGTCCAGGTCCTCTCCGCTCATTTCCATCTCCCAGCCCCCAGGGGCCCCTTCCCCTTTATGGGGTTTCCCCCAGCTAATGCCCAAGAGGGCTCCTCTACAATGACTGGGCTCCTTTCCTTGACTTCCAGGGAGCACCCCCCTCGATTTGGGCAGATGGTGGAGTCAAGGGTGGGCAGCACACTCCTAACTCATTGTTTCCCTCATGGCCGACCAGGGCGGGGATAGCACGCCCAATTTTAGCCCTGAAGCAGGGCTGAGCTGGGGAGCCCCTTTCCCTGGGAGCTCCCAGAGGAAACTCTTGACCGCTAGGGGCTCCCTGAAGGGCTTTCATTACCAAAGGTGGGGTAGGGACGGGGGGTGGGTGGGAGTGGAGCGGAGGCCTCGTCTTCCCTTGCTGCCCCTGGGCTGGCCCACCTGCCTGCCACATGCCCACGCCTAGTCCCATCCGGGCCCCCCTTCCCTGCTGGTCATGCAGTGTCTGTATATAAGGACCTTGGAATGACGTTCCCATTTCTGCCTGATTTGCAACTTTTATTGTTGATGTTGTGTTGTCTTGGGGGACCCCTCTGGCGGGGGACCTGCCCTGTGCCCCCTCTTCCCTGCCGCAGTGCCCCCCCAACCCAGGCCTCTATTGTTCCGTGTTGTAAATACCCCTGGGGCCATGGTGGGATGGGGGTGCAGGCCAGGAAAACAACGGGTGGGTGGGGGTGGGGACGGGGGTAACATTTGCCTATCAGCAGAGCTGGGCTTTTATTTAATTTTTTTTAAAAAATACAAATCTCTATTTTTTTGGAACTGTTGCGCTGTGCCCTGGGGGGGATCCCCGCTCAGGCTGGCCTCCCACATCCAGATGAGCATCACAGAAGGGCCCTGAGGCTGTGGGGGGGCAGCTGGACAGGGGTGGGATGACTGTGCCTCTGGCCTGGTTGGGTGAGTTGGGAGCAGGAAGGTTTGCTCAGGGGGTGGCTGGGTGCTGCTCCTGATACAGGGGGCCTGCATCCTGTCCCCTCCCTGCCCCCCCAACCCCCAGCCCCTGCCATGACTGACCCGTCAGCCTGTAAAACCACCATTGCCTTGATCTCAGGGGGTGGGAGGGCTGCCTCAGGGCACCCTGGGCTCCAGGCCCCCTTCTTCCAGTTGGGCTTCCCTTTGCCAGGGTCAGGGGTCCCATGGGAGAGGGGGTTGGGAGGTTGGGGGGCAGAGAAGCCCAGTCAGCCATGATGAGGTGGAGTTCTTTTCTTCACCTCAGGGGGCCAGGGTGTAAGGGGCGTCCTGCCGAGCCCCCATCTCCCACTGTGGCCATCTCAAAGCTTCAGCCCCTCTTCCTTCCAGAAACCCCCACTGCCTTGGCCCATACCTCTCCAGCTCCCTAGGGGCCCAGGCTGGGAGGCTGGAGACTCAGGGTATGGCCCTTGCTTGACTTAGGCTAAGCTTGGGGAGGTGGCCCAAGTGTGGGAGGGGTGGGTACAGGCTGCTGGGTCGTCTGGTGCCTTTGGGAGCTGTGCTGCTGGGGTCTTGACTCCTGTACCCCAAAGACCCCACCCCCACCCAGGAAAAGCCAGGGGGCTGAAGAATCACCCTATTCTCTGCCCCCCTTTCCCCTAACTTGGCTTGGGGTGACAGTGCTAGGAAGGAGAGCATTGTTAGGCTGGTGGCCCCAGCATACACAGGCCTTCTATGGAGGGGAAGGTGTAGAGTGGGCTGGGGTAGCAGCAGCCAGGTCTAGGGGTTGGCCAAAGGCTCCTTTCCCTGGGGGAGGCCCAGGAGATGGGCAGGGGGCTTGTTAATGAGACAGCCCTTTTCCCCTGCACAAACGGGGCAGGTGCAATAGTCTCGGAGTTGGTAGTATTGGGTGCCCAGCTGGTGGGGCAGTGGCCTCAAAGATTGTCCTGGGTCCTGGAGATCAGGATTCTGGCAAGAAGATTGTATGAGGCCCATTTGCTTGGTGGAGAAGGTGGTCCAGACAGGCAGCATTCCTGGGGTCACTGGACTCCCACTGGAAGCCCCTGGTGGCCTGGGTACCCTGCCCTGGTCTTAGAGACCCCTGAGCACTGAGTGGAAGGGCAGAGGAGCATTTTGCACAATGGAGAAGCCAGAAGAAAGAGGGTAGCCCAGATGGCTGGGAGGGCTGAGAAGCACAGAGCAGAAGCCCTTCCTACAGGCAAACACAGAGCCCCCATCCCCCTGGTTGGGGCCAGGGCACTGCGTCTGTTACCAACTGGGCACTGGAGAGATGAAACCAAAGGTGGGCAGGGGATGGTGACAGCACTGGGGACTACACCTGTGGGTCCTAGGTCTGTGAAGCCCCTCCCCAACGTCTGTGTCGCGTACAGTTTTATGTACCAATAGGCGACATTTGGCCAGAGGAGAGCCCCCCTCAAACCCAGCCTGACCCAGTCTGTGTCTTCCTAGAGGGGACCTAGTGGGTCCCCATCCCCCTACTTCAGGGCATGTCTCTCGGTAGGGGGAGGGTATATGGGGACATATTTCTTTCCTGGGGTCCCTGAAGCATGTCTCACGTCCCGGGGTGGGGCGAATTTCTCTGGGCATCTCTCACCTCTGGGGGCTCTCTAGGCCCTCTCTCTCCCCTTGGGAGTCTCCGGGGGACATGTGTTCCCGCTGAGGACCACGGGAGCATGTCTCCCCCGCTTATCCAGGCTCTCTGGGGAGCCTGTTTTCCTCCCAGGGTTCCTGGGAGTACTGAAGGCAAGTCAGTCTGGGGCCATCTCTCTTCCCAGGGAAGGGGGCTATCTCTGAAGCATGTCTGGGAAGGGATGTTTCTGGCCCTGCCCCCATCTCTCCTATGGGGGTTTCTCTGCCCTGCAGCACTTTGGGATGAGGCTGGGCATCTCTGAGTTGTCTTTTCTCCTAGGGACCCTGAGATACCTCTCCCTCCTGAGGGTGGGGCCTCTGGAGCCATTTCTTCCCTGGGTCGGGGCTGTCTCCGGGTGTTGGGAGGGCTTGTGTTGGCCATGAGAAAGGCTCTTAAGGGGCGTCTCCATGGGGGACTTCTCTGGGAGGGGGGACTGTGTCTCGCCCACCGGGTTTCGGGCGGGTGTGTCTGCCCATGGGGAGGGGAGACTGGGTCTCCTCGGGTTACCTGATCGGGGAGGGGGGCCGTGTCTCTCTCGTGTGTAGGGGGGTGGGGGTCGGGGTGGGGGGTTTTGGGCGCGTCGGGTGCCCACACTGGGGTCGTGTTTCTCTTGGTTCGTGCCACTTCCCACCGCCTCGCTCCTCCCGGGAAGGGCCCCCGCCCCGCCCCCACCCCATCCCTGGCGCTGCGAGCACAATCCCGTTGATTTGTAATGATTTCTGTCTCTTTCCGTCTTTCTCTTTCTCTGACCCCCCCAACCCCCGCCGCGAGCATGCGCAGGCACCGCCCCTACCCCCTCCGGTTCGGTTCGTTTCCGGTTTGTTTGCTGAGCTGTCAATGAAAGACCCGTGTAATTATTCCCGAGCTTTACAATAAAAGTGTGAAAACCGGACCCCACTCCGCTTCTTCCGGGTCCTCGGGCCTGCGTCCCGTGGATAGTAGGAGCTAAATCTGGAGACCTTAGAGAGGGCTGGGGGAAGCGAGGGACGAGAGACTGAGACCTGCCCTGGTATTAATCGGGGATGGGGTCGAGCTGACGCGGACTGAGGACAGACCCCTAGTCCATACACCTCAAAGTGACCCCTGCTAGCTCCGCTGGGTCCGACCTGCTGTGGGCACCCCTTTTCCCCCAGAACTCAGGTGCAGGACGGGGTGAGGGTGGCTGCCGGGAAGGATGTGCTGCCGCTGCCTTCTTCCCCCGGCGCCTCCAGGACGTGCAGTCGTTCCCGGGTGTATCCATTCCCACTCCCCACTCTTTGGCAACGAGTGTGAATTGCGGAACTGGATGGGATAAGGGGCGGGAGACAACTGTCTGTCGGGTTCTCCCACGCTCAGGAATCAGAGTTGGAAGTCGATTTAGGGGATGGGAACCGAAAAGGTCTCAGACTCGGTCTCCAACTGCGCTCCCCTCCCCCCTTCCGGGCTCGATCGGCCCCGGCCTCCTCCGTCCGGCTCCCGGGTAAACACCGGCTCCGGAGAGGTCGGAAAACAGAGACCGGATCAGCAGGTTCCCGGCCCCGCCTCCCGGGGCGCTGCTCCCTCCTCCGCCCCCTACTGCGTCGCGCGCTGTTGCTGGGCCCGCGTCCTCGCTCCCCCGGCCGGTGCTGTGTGGGCCTCGCTCCGGACCCCGAGGTCGGTCCAACCGCTGGGGGATTAGCCGAGCGCAGGGACTAATCCCGGATGAGCCTCGTGTAAACCCGGATCGACCGCGGGGAAGGCGGGGGTTGCTGGCACCCCTTCATCCGTTCCCCAGATGTGGAGCATCGCGGGGCCTAGAGCCCACCCCGAGGCTCCTTGCTGCTTTCGGAGAGACCTGAGTTGGAGCTGCCGTTGGGGGCGGAGCGGGGCAGGGAATGAAGAAGGGAGGGCCGGATCAGACGCGCTGCGCGGAGAGCCTGGCGGCGGGGTGACGGGGTGTGGGGAGGAAAGGCACAAGGTTTCTCGGGCAGGCTTTGAATCAACAGGGTTAGGTCAGCTCCCTAGCTCAATCTGCAACCCCAAGCCCCCCCACCTATCTCCAGTTACGGAATCACAGATCCTCCCACTACCGGTGGCTGTGGCAACCCTTCTCTAAACCTGAGGCCTCACCTCTTTAGGAGAGGCGCTGAATCAGCGGGGGAGGGCCCCACGTCGTCTCCACCCCTGACTTGACCCCACAGTGGAGGGTGAGGAGCTCCTTCTGTCAAGGCCTAGCCCAGGAAAAGATGTCAGGAGTTAAGGAAGTTGGGGGAGATGAGGTGGCCGACTGGGTACCAGAATCCTGTCACTGGTTGATTTACTCATGCTACAAACATTTCCTGAGCCCCTCCCATGTGCCAGACCGGCACTGGACCCCAAGAATGACACACAGTCTCTGTGGGAAAGGCAGACAGGTAAACAACGACCATATCTTGTGTTCGGCCCTGCCTTGAGCCGGAAATTCTGGCAGGGGACCCAAAGGCACCGTCTCCTCCAAAGTCTACAGGCTTCCTGGAAGGGGTGGTGCCAGAGCTGAGTTTCAAAGGGCAGATGAGGGGTAGGCTACTGAGGAAGGAGTCGGCCTTGCAGTCTGAGGAGAAGTGTGGAGGAGAAGGTGAGGTGGCTCAGGAGGGCAGAAGTTGGAGAAGAAGGCAGGGGACAGAACTAACGACCTGCTGGTCAACTTAAAGCGCTTAGATTGACGGGTTGGGGAGGAGCCATTTACAGATTTTAAGTCTGTTAAAGAAAAGGTCAGATTTACATTCGTCTGGATTCTGTGTTCCTCCCTTCCCTGCCCCAGGTTTCTCTGGGGATGGCTGGGTTGGGAGTGGAGACACACAGGCAGACAGACAGGAAGATGAACCAGGTGCAATTCAGACTAGTTAAGAATGGTTCCTGGCCAGGCGTGGTGGCTCACACCTGTAATCCCAGAACTTTGGGAAGCCGAGGCGGGCAGATCACGAGGTCAGGAGTTCGAAGCCAGCCTGGCCAACATGGTGAAACTCTGTCTCTACTAAAAAAGTCAGAGTTAGATGGATGTGGTGGTGCACACCTGTAATCTCAGCTACTTGGGAGGCTGAGGCAGGAGAATCGCTTGAACTCGGGAGGCAGAGGTTGCAGCGAGCCGAGATCGCACCACTGCACTCCAGCCTGGGCAACAAAGCAAGACCCGTTCTGGGAAAAAAAAAAAAAAAAAAAAAAAAAAAAGAATGGTCCCCAC